CATCCATACTTTCCGGAGTGAATCTTCATTTCACCCGCTGTTGACACAGCTCTCATCGCCACCAGGGTTAAACCACGTCTCGTTCACAGCAGCCAATGTGATGAAAATGCTAATGTCATTGCGCGTGCACAGCTCACTTGGCGTGGACGACATCAAACCGTAGGCATTGAAGACAGTGACCATGAACCTTGCCGAACCATTAGCTCGGTTCTTTCAATGTTGTCTCGACGAAATGCAGATTCCCACTAGGTGGAAACATGGACTAGTCACTCATATTTACAAAAGTGGTAACCGTTTGGAGCCATTGAAGTATCGTCCAATCACTCTCTTCCCAGTTTTATCCAAAGTAATGGAACGTATAATTGAGAGCAACTACATCTTGTGTCACAGCAACACGGGATCCGCCGAAATCGATTCTGCACTACAAACTTGCTGATAGCCCGAGGAAGCTGGCTAGAGTCAGCCGATGCCAGAGTGAGAGTCGACGTTGTCTACCTGGACTACTCGAAAGCGTTCGATCGTTTGGACTACCGCATTCTTCTTTACAAGCTTCGAAGCTATGGAATCGGCGATCCTGTGCTCGGTTGGATCGGTAACTTCCTTACTCAACGTCAGCTGAATGTGAAAGTCCGCAGCTCCATTTCCGACCCAATTGACGTCCAGTGTGGTGTGCCTCAAGGATCGGTACTGGGGCCACGTTTATTCCTAACATTCATTAACGATCTTTCCAGTGTACTGCAGTTGAATTCCTTACTATTTGCAGATGATGTCAAAAGCTGGCATGATATCAGGATATCGGATGTTCAGATGGCATTGCAGAGAGACCTCGACAGGGCTCATGCGTGGTAATCAGATATGTGGCTCCAGTTCAACGTGACGAAGTGCAAAGTTGTGAGTCTACGCCATCAGCTTATCTATGAATATCGACTTTGGGACCAGCAGTTACAAGGTGCTTCGCAAGAAAACGACCTCGCGGTGATCGTGCAGTACGATCTTGGTTACCCAAGACAGATTGAAAAGGCATCAAAAAGAGCCAGTCAACATCTTGGACACTTACGCATGGCCTTCGTGAATTTTGAGCCATCAATCTTTCCGCAAATGCAGAACGCCCCAGGTTCGATATGGGATCCGGGCCTGGCGTCCCTGGTGTGAACGCGACATCAATACACTTGAAGCTCCACAACATAGAGCAATCAAGCTTGTTAGGGGATTGTTTCATCTCCTACCAGCGTAGACTGCAGTTCCTGAGATTGTACAGTGGTGAATACCGACGTCAGCGAGGAGACCTAATCATAGTTTACCTAATACTGATGAACCCAATTCACCCATGTCGCAATCTGTTGCAGCTGAGCCCAAATACCAAGCTGAGAGGCTATCAGCTAAGAGTGGGCCACGCACTACAACCAACTTGATTGTCGACGAAACATTTTCTCCCTCTGTGATTCCCGTGCCTGGAAAGCCCTTCCGACCCACGTTGTCCTTGCCCCTACATTAACGCTATTCCAAAAACGCCTTGATAGAGCGCTTTCCAACTTGCATTACTCGATATAATCCGTTCCATTTGGAGGAAGAAATACCGCAAACCTAACTTTATGATTAACGGACCTCTCCGCAACATGGCGGTGAGGATACATGCAGAAGTGTCCATGTGAGTAGCCCGGATGCATCTAAACTGGATTAACCTATCACATCGGTCAAATGAAGAAACAGACGAGTGAGCGTTGTCGTTTTATTTCTTTCTCACGCATTTACTGAACTATAACGACTCTTTATACTATTTTGTGTGTGCACATCCCATTCCTACTTCAAACTAGCGTAATGCAGTAGTGCATTTAAATCGGTAGACGCATAAGATAATAATTTACTTGTTTGATGTCTTACAATTTTAATTTTTACTTCAGCCATCCTACGGGACTTGTTAAGCACATGTTTTTTACATGTGATAAATCATTGTTCATTCAGGTCTTGGCGAAGACATCTGTATGCTGAGGAGAACACGCCGTGTAAACGAAGACGCAGTTCGTAACTGAGACCGATGGGCCACACGATGGCCTGGTACTTCTTAGTTGAGTTTCTCCAAAAGACGAATATCTCTTTTTAACCATGGACGCCAGGCCTGAACCACTTATTCTACGTGGGGAGGAACATACGAGTTAATCAGCAGTTGTACTAACCGTTGCTTACTGGTACCCAGAGTTCGGTTCGAAAGCCAAAAGTTCAAGTTTGTCACCTACACTACTTTCGAATATTGGAGCAAATTGCCAAGACTTTCTTGTACGATGATCCCTAAGTCGTGCTCATCTGTCACATGTTGCAGGACCAGTTGCCCCAAAAAATTTGTTGATGAAGCTGCTACACACCGTCCACAGATGGCACTTTGCAGGGTTCAATGGGAGCTGGTTCCTTTCTACCCATTCTTTAAGCTGGTCCAGATGGTTCTGGAAATAAGTACGGTCAGGTGCCGACGAAATTGCTCGCCATATTTTAGCACCATCTGCAAATGTTTGGATCGGGGATAGAATAATCTCTCGGTCACTGAAATAGACTAAAAACAGTAGCGGACCGAGGACGGATCCTTACGGTACACCACTAGAGACGCATAGAATTTCGGACTGAGTGTCGGCTATCCTTAGCTCTATTGTTCTGTCGTGCAAGTAACCTTCCAACCAGTTGAGCAGAGAACCATTGATACTATAGGCAGCAAGCATGTGTGAGAGAACGAAATGATTGACCCTGTCGAACGACTTAGAAAAATATAAGTGAATCACATCTACAGGGACTTCTTCGTCAACCGCTCTGCTCCATAAGTCCCGACCAAGGAGCAAATTCTTGTGACAAGGACGTCTGGCTCTGAAACTACTTTGGCGGCTGAAAATATTTTGCAAATTTCTAAAATATCGCGTCAGTTCACCTGCAATTGCTGATTCCATCAATTTTGGCAAAACAGCAAGAAAAGTGTATGGTAGTTTCGGTAGCAGACAGCACCACCGTCACCGTGAGATGGATTATCATTTCGAAGGATTGACAATTCAATGAGTTCAGTTTTCTAATCTAGTATATCTTTCGAAAGTTGTAGTCACCGCTACTATGTTCCAAGTTGTTGTTACACATCGATAGCACAGTTCCGGTAGATTAGAGTAGAGCTCTTGAGCGCTGCTGCAGCAGTACTGTGTTTGTTGATGCATTAGCTCGGTTCACTGTGTTTGACCGGTACACTTTGTGTTGGTCTGCTGACGACATTTGTTGCTGGTATTTGCACGGTTGGCTGACTTGAAGTTGTAACAACCGAGTCTGGCTCATCTGTACCCTGGGTCTGCACTGCTTGCTACGCCACGCTTTGATTGTCATTACTACCATCTCGGGCATAGCTCTGGCAATGGTGCATCAATGGAACGATGGACTTATTACATGTAAAACAGCGCATGCTTAACAACTTCAGTAGTCTAGAGAGATACGCTGAAAAGGAATAACACGTGTGTCAATGAATTCGCCGTTAGTTCATGTGTTCACACAGTCTGCTAAAGCTATGCTGCGGTCGTATAACTTAGGTTGAGACACAGAATGCAGATGAATTCAGATGAGGTAGGGTAATAAACACTATAAGTCAGGAAGATGTTTCCTGACTGACACAGTTGAGAGGAGAACAGGCTACGGCAGCATTCCGACCGTCTCCATCACGTAGCCAGTCTCTCAAAGGATGAGGATGTGCGTGGTTTGCAGCATTGGGAATAGGATACACCCTTGTAAAGGGTTTATCGAATCCGCGTAGGGGTGGGCGTTCTCGCGGTATCATCAGCCCGCGCGCGACTTACGGTGGTCGCGTGGCAGTGAAGCGGCTTTACGGCGTACAGCTGGCGATTTAGTTATGCTTTTGACGCTCTTGTAAAATCCTCTACAAACGATGAAATTTTACACTGCAAACTCCAATGGCCCTCGGTTTAAGTGGCTTAGGATGAGAGCTCGAAGTGCTTATGCTTATTCCAGTGTAACCATATTTGAATGCAATACGCTACATTAGCTTCATGCAACTGTAAAATATTTACGAAAATATGGTTAGATCGTGTTGTCCAACTGCTTTCGGCAACAGGCCTCAGCGTTGGCTGGATTCTCGCTCTGCTTTCTCGGTCTATCTGGAACAACAAAGATTTGTCTGCTGTGAACAGTTCAAGATGGTAATCATAATGTTTTCGTTCCAGCTGCTCACAAGCGACATAACTCAGCCTAGTCTGGAAAAGCACCAAATGTGTTTCACCATATTGGGGCTCGTCAGTGGCGCGCATTCCCTCAGTCCCCTTCTGGGGGTTGAAGCTATGACCGCTAGGGGCAGATGCCAACTAGCCAGCAGCTTAAGCCACTGAGCCATGAGGGACATCGGCTCGGCTACACAATTTTCAAGCTAATTGGGATATAGCACGACCTATCTTCCACCGCCACGCAAGTTACTACCTTAGAAAATGACAGTGGCTCAACCCCGAAGGTCATAACTTCGTCTCACTAGACGCTACGTGCATAACATTTGAAACTTCAAGATTGCCCTCATGGACAAAGCGACGCAAAAGATACTACCCCTGCCAATAATCGTAAGCGCTCTGGTGACGTGTGCTCAATACTTTGCACTGGTTCAGGCTACGCGGTCGTCTGTTGTCTCGACAAACCACCACACCCTGAGTTGAAATCATCAGTCTATAGTGAGATGGATTACGAAAATCCGAAATAGACGCGGCTCTATTGCCAGGCACTGTGGGACGACACGTTGCACTTCTATCGAGTGCAACAAAGCCCAACCGATTGGTACATCCATGCAAATTTAGTGCAGGATTGCTGGCTTCATAGTTTGTGAAACGGAACGCGGTGATCTGTGCCGACAAAAGGCATCCCCAGCTGGACAGTGTGTTGGTCTAGGCTACTGTTAATCAGTGGTAACCCCAATCACTTTTGTCGTAAATCGACTGGGAAGCATGGAGCAAAACATGGGTATCAGATGTGGAAGGTGCACTCACTTGAAAGTTCACCATTGTGTACGGGTTAGTGATCCACTCGGGAGATAGTTGATGTTGTCGTACAATATCTTGCACCTGCCGTGCTTCGTCCAACATTGCACGCATTTCCTTCTCGGCACTCGGAAGGGTCCGCTTGAAATTCTCATGGCCACTGATTAGAGCCTTCAAAATTGGGGGAACTTTGGAATCAGAACTCTATTCATTCATGAAATAAAACGAATTCTACGAGTGCTTTAGATCACACTAAGACGTTTCACAGCAGCTAGTATGTTCGGACAAGATGAGGATACCAGTTAGGATGTGCTGAAGCAATACATTTTATGTTGCACTGTTAGCAGTGGGTGAGAGGCTACCAGGCTACGCCAAAGCAGCTGATTTCAAGCAACTGAGGGGATTATTCTTACAACAGTGCCTGCGAATGTGGTTGTCGAGATATCAGTCTATTTGGCCCAACTCTCTCAGGGTAAGAGAATAACGGCCAAACCGTAAGGTGGAGGCACAGATACTGCGTGACCACTGCTGCAGAAGACACACGTGTGCATCACCGCACGCACTCGCAACACAAGTGAATTCAAAAGTTAAGATGAACGATGAGTTAAATTTCATGGGCAACCACCTGCGGAAACCATATAACGGTATTCCATGCAGTCTGCAGATGCCACTCGCGTCATATGAGAGTTTGGATTTTCCTCGTTGGTGTGAATGTGAGATAATACTCAATCTTTTAATATATTATGACAACCACAGATACACCGCATATGGAACCATAATTTTTGTGCCACACTGACTTCATACGTACATTTCGACTTCTCCGCTTTCGCATGGGTAGATTGTAGAGAAATCTACGTTCACTACATGGATAATGACACCGAGAAATATCCAGTGCCTTCGGAAGATGTTAACACTATTTTTAGTTAATGGATCATACCCGGAGTAACTAGATTTCTGATAAAGTTGGGTCGTACATAGATAAGTAAGTGTAAAATACATCACTACTGCAGGATTGCATGCCAGCGTAGACTAGGCGGCGGGACGCCATCTTATTAATCGTGCGGTAAACTCAAGTCCGAAACGCTAAAATCAATGTTTTGCGGGATCATCTGCGCATACAGAACATCTAATTTAAGGTGCTGGAGTGAAGGGTTAAGATAAATTGATTTTTCCTTACTCCATAACGAAATCACTAACTGTGCAGCCACTGTGCGCCGGGCAATTGTACTTGGTAACTGAGACATTAGTTGGTCGACATTCATTACAACAGAGTTGTGAGGTGCTGGTGTCTCCACTCACAACTGTGAAATTCTCCGGTTGATCGAGTTGGGATTACCGCACTTCTATGGTTGCTTCTCCGAAGTGGTTGGAACACCGTGTCGTACATCAGATGATTGATGAGCCAAACCATGAGTAAGAGCAAGGTGTTGCCAAGGCATCCCAATTGGGCTCCATAAGAAAGCTGCACGCGAGGGCCCATGAATCAAGCTATACGCTCAGCCGTCAGAAAACATACTACAGCGCGTCTATTAAGTGTGTTCTGTGTGAGCTATACTGTACTATCCAAAAGCGACCAAGATGTTCAACAGCGATGTTTCCGGCTTGGAAGTCTACGAGGTCCCGTTTTCTGTATATCTAATTACTGCGCCGGTCATGTGCATCGACTGTGAATATGGCGGAGTTCAAAGCCCGATTAGACAACGCACACATTTCGCTACATTATGTTGCATGACTCACGGGGTTCCTGAAACCGAAGCATGTGATCAGCATGAAATAACAATCCATGATAAAGAACAGTGGGGTTATATTCGTGAAACACTCCGCTTGGATGATGTGGTAGCGAAATCCGTGTCACGACTGCGTACCTCACCGAACTACAGAGGAATTGGACCGAGAGTGTTGAAGGTGATCCTTCAGTCAAAACATATGGTAGCACGGATGTTACAAAGCTGGCGCATGTTCCGTTGCAAGCTACCATCTGAGGTTCGGCTGAAGACAATCAGCGATATGCCTTCTAGAGATGATATGTCACTCAAAGAACCAAACGCGATGGGATCTATGAGAGAACAACGCACCAGTATTGTGCCGAATGAGACCATACAAACTGTAGAAGATGATAGTGACCAGACACCTTACACTGTACGTCGCAGATCAGATACGGGACTAACTACACGGATGATGAATAAAATGTTAAACCCTTCACCAAGCACACATCGAAAAAACGATTAGTCGCCGGCCACTCACTGGTCGGCGAAACTTCACATATGAGTTGCAGAACCTCCGAAACATTGCTTAAATCTACGAAACTTTCATGTATGTACACTAACGCCCAAGGGCTCCTCAGTAAAATTACCGAACTTCGCCTACGTCAGGTTGCGAATGTGTGGGACCTAATTTCTATTACCGAAACTTGGTTACACCAAGAGGTGACTGATGCTGAGGTTGAGATAGCCGGAATGTCACTCATCCGGAACGACCGCCCCAGCAGAGGAGGTGGGGTCCTACTCTACTACCGCAGCGATCTACAATGTACAACCGTTGACGATCTGGAAGCACACGTTACTGACTCAGTCTGGTGCCGTCTCCGACTGAGACACAACGACACGTGTCTAGTAGCTGTCGTTTACCGCCCTCCAACGTCCACTCCGGAAATGGATTCCTGCTTGATCCGTGGCCTCAACAGAGTAACACGCACTAGGTATAGCCACATTCTCATCTCCGGGGACTTCAATCTACACAATCTGGAGGTTTCGGCATCGCCCAGTGAGCAGTTCAAAGCAGACTTGCAGGAACTGATGGCTAATATTCCTTTGTACAATCATGTCACCACGCCCACTAGATTCAGGGCAGCAAACAAACCGTCCATACTGGACCTTGTGCTCACGAACGAAGAGCTCATGGTTGACAAGTTATTGATGGATAGTCCATTAGGGCTCAGTGACCATGTAGTAATAACTTTTGACTATGTGTGTTATGCAGAGTATCCTTCTGAACACTCGGAACTAACACATACAATCACACGCTACCACGTAGTGAAAGAACTCGCCGACGCAACTGCTTGGGAATTCTCAAACAAAAGTCCCCTTGACAACGTTTGGGCAGAGTTCGTTAATAAACTCAGCGACGTCGTCAACAGAGCATCAGAGACCAAACCCCTTCGTCCCGCAAAAATGCCTTCAATTATAAGGAGTAGGACTCGCAAATGCCTGGCGATAAGGGATGCAGCATGGCATGCCTACAAGATTAACCCCGACTCAGAGAATTGGGAAAATTTCCTGACCCATCGCAACCATCGCACTGCACTTGTCCGTGAGGACAAAGTAACTTATCAACAGAGCCTAGCCAAAAAATTCATGGCAAACAACAAACTGCTATATAGGCATGTCAATAAGCTTCGTAAAGTGAAGCATGGAATCCCCCCACTATTCACGACAGGCCGTAGAGTACAAAGCGCCGATGAAGCAGCTAATGCCCTGCGGCTTCAATACGCCCCAATCTTCGAACTCGCAACATCTAGCTGTCCCATAATATCAAGCACATTACCGACACCTTTGTTTACAAATGTTATTTTCAACCCATCAATTGTGCTAAGGAAGTTACTCTCACTGCGTGAGCATGGTTCGCCGGGAGCAGACAACATCCGCCCGAAGGCACTGAAGGCTGTGGCCACCAAGCTAGCTGAACCACTGTCACAGTTCTTTCAAAGGTGCTTTGATGAACAACAAGTCCCCACTATGTGGAAGTGTGGCATTATCACCCCTATTTTTAAAGGCGGTAGCCGTTCCGATCCTGCAAACTATCGTCCAGTGACTCTCCTCCCTGTGCTCGCGAAGGTGATGGAAGCAGTCGTCGCTGACACTTTAATGGACTACCTAGACAAATGCAACATCTTGGTACCGGAACAGCATGGCTTCCGTCAACACCGGTCATGCACTACCAACCTACTTATTGCACGAGGTAGTTGGACGGAAGTGGCCGATGATGGGGTCGGAGTCGACGTCATCTATCTGGACTTCACCAAAGCTTTCGACCGCCTTGATCACCGCATTCTACTTCAAAGACTACAGAGTTACGGAATCGGTGATCCTGTACTTGGTTGGATTGGCAACTTCCTTTACCAACGAAAGCTTCAAGTACGTGTTAGGGGATCACTCTCTAACCCAATTGAAGTGGAATGTGGCGTCCCGCAAGGCTCAGTGCTGGGACCGCGTTTATTCCTTGTGTTTATCAACGACCTGGCAAGGGTCATCTCCTCAAATTTCCTGCTTTTCGCCGATGATGTCAAGATATGGCGGGCGATTGGTAACAAGTCCGATCAGGATCTGCTCCAACATGACTTAGATCGCATTTACGAATGGTCAAAGAGGAACAAGCTTCAACTGAACATGGCTAATTGCGGAGTGATGCATCTGCGTCACCAGCCGGTGAGCGCTTACAAGATTGGAGACCACATTTTGGCGAACGTTTCTCAGGAGCGTGACCTGGGTGTATTGGTGCAGGAAGATTTCGGGTGTTCAAAACAAGCAGAGAAGGCGACGAGAACCGGCAATCAACACTTCGGCCTTCTTCGCAGAGCCTTCGGTCGGTTTGAACCCTCAATCTTTCCCCAAATGCTTAACGCCTACGTGCGACCTCACGTGGAATATGCTATTCAGGTGTGGCAGCCGTGGCAGAAACAGGATCTCGTTGCTCTCGAGACTCCTCAACGACGGGCAACCAAGAATGTCAGGGGCCTCTTTCATCTGCCCTATCAGCTTAGACTGAAATCTCTAAGAATGTACAGCAGTCGATATCGGCTTTTGCGGGGGATCTCATAATGGTTTACCAGATTCTGAAGAACCCAAACCACATTTGCCGTCCGCTTCTGGAATTGAACCACAACACTAAACTAAGAGGTCACCCTCTGAAACTGACAATTCATTATAGCCGGCTTGAATGCCGCAAAAATTTCTTTTCTCTCCGCGTGTGCCAGCCTTGGAACGCCCTCCCTAATTATGTCGTCTCTGCTCCCAATCTGGCAATATTTAAAAAACGTGTTGACGATGCATTGTCTCACTTACATTTCATTTTATGACTTGTTAGCCAGGAGCTACAAAACGCAATCAAACGGTTTCTTGCCAAACGCCTAACCAATGGATTTATAGTTTCATATGTTTCATACGCGAACTTCTCCGCTATTCCGCATAAGTCTATGGTGAGTCCACCACAACGCTTTTCCCTTTATCATGCAATTAATTTTCGCAATAATTTTCCATCCTACGGGACTTGTTAAGCAACGCTTTTTTACCCGTAATAAACCATTGTTCCATTGTTCCATTGACCACTGCCAAATGTTGGTAGTGGCTGTTGGAGGTTTCGCTATCGGTTAGCTCCCAGAATACGTCCCACTTATTTCACCTGTTCACGAGGAGATGATACACCCTAAACAAACGCCCCGTTTATAATTATTTATCATGGATTTACAGTGAATTTACACTTCTCAACTCCTATACCTCATTGAGCCCATGGGGGTGAAGTTACTTTCTATTGGCACCTATTTCATTTTGTGTAATATTCACCATGATACTCTTCCGAGATCTGTTAAACATTAGATTTGTACCCATAGTTACACATTATTCCACTGTTCCATCGGTCATGACGTGAAAGCGACCGTGTTCCCCCTTCAGAAATATTTATCGCAACTCATTTCACAACGAAATACGGGTGAGCTGAGAAGTGCACAAGTTATCAGTTGGCGAAAACAGGAAGACAGGACTGGTTGGAGTAATGCGATTTTGGACTCACAGTGATATCTTCCACTTTGTTGACAATGAACATATCTTGTAAATCTTCCTGTGCCTGTTCCAGCCACGTGTTGAAAGGCTGTCAGGAATGTGTAAAGAGGATGTGAATATGCACATTAGAAAGAAATGGTAGACATCAACGGCACTCTTGGAGAACTTTCTAACCGCACTAGTACTGGATGCCTGCTGAGGCCTAGGTGGGATTTGTTCGGGAAAATCTACGATCGCCTCCTTCCAATAGTCCAACCGGTGCATTCACCAGAAACGTGAACAGATCATGCGTCAGTTAATGCACGCAATTTACGGTGGTTTTTCGACACATGCAATTTCGTAATACACCACAGGGCATATAATCGTGCTTGATTCACCATGAGTTTGTTGCACCACAGTGCAACAATCGACTAAAAGATAAATGAGGTGGAAACATACCGCCACACGCTTCGCAAACGACAAGTGAAGCTGGTCGAGTTGATTGAGAACATCCAGGATTTTCTGCAAATGAGACACAAATAGGTGGAGAATACACCAACTATAATGAACCAATCTAAGCAAGCTAAAGCTTCTACTTTAAAAGGCCACACAAGATGTTTGTTAAATGGACAAGGATTAATTTACCCCTAAAGTGAAATGTAAGAATTCGATAGCTTCTCTGCTCAACCTGACAATTCAGTGTCATTGACACCTATTTGCTATCTGAATGCGGTCACACCTCCGACTTATTCGGGAGAATTAACAAACCCAGAACTAGAGGGTCCGAGTCACGTGAGGCAGAATCGGAGCAAGAGGACATCAGAGCAATTCGGAAGGAAAGAATCTCACAGTCTACTCAACTAGAGAGATTCAATAATCAAAGGTGACAGCTGGAAATGGAGGGGGTTCGTGGACTCAACCTTCTGTCCGGTGAGATTTAAACGGGGCAGATTGGCAATATTGTCAAAAGTAGACAGCATGTAAGGTTGATCGTCGTCTACCAATACTATTAATTGTATCCAAGGCGTTGGCATACTAAGGAAATCTTGAAAGGAGATGCCGGAACACACTGGAGGCATGACATTGTTCCAGCCTTAACACACAAAATGCAACACGATCCACCATCTCAAGAAGAGAGGAACGTGATTGAAGGCATAAACTCCGATGAACTTATCCTAATCTTGCTGGTGCACAATGGACGTATGACTGCTATAAGAAACAAAACAGACTATTTAGATGTACCAAAGCTATCAGATGACAAAACGACACAGCGCCACAGAATACCAGAAGTGTCTCTTGGATTAACACAAATAACAAAAAGAGAGCACGATACAATAAATGTTTCTGTCTCAAATTTCGTTCCGTTTTAATGAATTCCGAAATTACACAAGGACGGTGTACCATTATGACCAATGGAGACACCGCCTTACACGCCCACCTACAACCTGGCCAAGAAAGGATGGAGACGCCTCAAACATCAAACCAATAGATCACAATAATCCATCAACAATGCACAGCACCTTTTGGAGAAATTCTAAGGTCTACAAACAAAGTATGAAGAAATCATGATTTCTTTCAACGTCGCTACTTTGTTTATATCCGTCAACCTAAGGCGTCGAACGAAAACATCAGAGAGCGACTGGACAGTGACGGACATATTATTGGGGAACTAACAACGGAAACAGTATGCAACCTACCCCATGTTTATCCCCCCACCTACATAAAATGCAACGGAGTATTCAATGCTCAGGTGAAAGGAGCCTCAATGGGACTTCGTACGTCTGGACTCATTGTGGAGATCGTCATGTAGAAACTGGAAAAGAACATGCTCCAAACTGTCAACCCAAGATTATGGGACCGATATGTTGTTGACAGCGCTTTCGTGATGCTCGAGCGCAGCCAGCTACAAATGGAGCAAAAGTTGTTCGCTTGAAACTCCGCTACCGCTAACAACTTGTTCACTTTCGCACACCGCAGTTGCAGCCTGAATGTGTGGCGAAAACTTGGGGACTAAATTTTCCGGCTCGGAGAGCGAATCCGCACTTTACTCTTGATCTTCTTGTCGTCTACTTAGAAAGGCAGCACTGCACCGTGCTTACTGCTTATCCACATGGTTAGGATCAATACTACTGCGTTAAAGTCAAATCTTTTGGCGCGACCACTGAGCAAATGGGCGAAAGACACACAGGAACCAGCAAAAGGAAGCAAAAATTTGTTGAGGCACAGTAGAATTAATCAGGCGAAGGACCGTGCTGCAGGAAAGTGCCACTCACGAAACCATGGTACTGTTTCATATTAATAATAGTACGGAAGCAACGGGGTCAAATAGTTGACGAAATGCTAAAGATACCCCGGTGCACAATCTGTTGTCAACGGCTGCAACTTGAACCTACTCACGCATGCAGAAATGCTAGTAAAGTTACGTTTCAGGTAAATTAGGTCAGTTCTAATGGGGCCATCGGTTGTGACGTCGGCTATACACCGCCAAGTCGTCAAAAATACAACGTTGCAGGCTGCGTAACAAATAACAGTTTACAAGATAGGAGGGGATTCTCGTTTCATCTAGTGGATTGTCGTGATGCTAACAATTGGCGAATTTCTCGCCAGAAATAACAATAACTATTGGAAACCTTGAATATCAGTAGATCAGGAAGCAGGGATGCAGGTATCTGACACCGTTCACTAAATATGTTGGTTTCGTTGATTGTTTGAAGACAATGAGGTTACAAGAAGCGGGAACCGAGCAGTAGTCAGCACAGCGCAAGGGATCGAGTGGTAGGTGGCACTCACATGGATCTCGTGTCTGCGTTGCTGCGACAGTTGACCCAATCGGTCCCACTCGCTAGCGATCTGTTGCGTTCTCGCGTTCACGGAATCCACATCCGCATAACCAAGTTCACTGTAACACAGAAAGCAGTAGATAAGGGATGTTTATTGTATGTGGATTGCACCCGCAGGGATGTAACACGACTGAGTGATAGGTGTGGAAGGAGTTGGTGAAAACCAAACCAGTACCACTCGACTGGCTTTTGGGATATAAGTTAGACATAGTAGGATAACGAATAATCAATTTGAATGTTGTGATTCTTTTAGCAACGGAAACTCGCCATGCACACAAGCGCCTGCAACTGTGTCGGCCAGATCACTGTTGGTGGACGGCGATGTGGTCGTTTTGTTTTGTGGTCTGCTGCGGTGTTCATGATGTTATGGAGATAATTCAGGTGTTTGGATGCGCACCAATGGTTGGAATGATCGGTACTCTCAGGTAAGCGTTCAAAGTTGTCGACTATGAAGAAAATACCTGGGATAAGACCTCTCCAGTGTGTAATCATACGTATTAGCCGTTTTCTACCATAGTGGAAGCATCTGCTTATACAGCCAAATATCGATAGTAAACTAATTGTAACGCCCATCCGCATCCTAGAAGTGCATCAAGCTTGGCTTTATTCCATTTAACCAACATTAAGGCAGGAGCTTTATTACTGTATCGTTTAGTAAGTTCTGTTTCCTGACTTGCTCGTCACTGTAGCGGCGGAGAGTTACAGGACGAGTTGCATCACCCATATGCCCTACAGCTGGTTCAAATCCGGAAGAATATAACCCAAATATATCTTGGTGACAGCCACGAGTATCACCGGGGATCACTAGAGCGCCTTCCATAAAAAAACAGGCACCAATAAGCACAAGAATCGGAGTAGCAACACACCAGAGATATCACAACAGTAAAACGATGCGTATCTACCGTTTGCTATGGGAGATCTGCGTATTGGGTGAGCATACAGCTCATTGTGGACGAATACCAGCCTGTGCCATGGTGGGGTAAAGTGTAGTGAAGGATTTATATTATGGATATGCATGGCGGTGGACCAGTCGAACAGTGTGCGTCCATTCTAACACAAAGATCGGTGAAATGAGCGCAATGAACCATTCAAATAAGTGTTAAATAAGAAGCTGTGGATAATGTACAGCGGTAACAATACATCGACGTTGAATCAAGGTTACAGGACAATGCGCGCAGATATTAGCCAGATTCAGAAATAGCAACTAAAGATGCAGCAACGGAAAACTGTCGGTATTATGGTTCTATTGCAACGTTGCAAGACTTTTAGTTGAAATGGTTGCGAGAACTAACTACGGAACGTAAAGATCTCGTACTTACCAAAACGTTCACTGTTATCAAGTGACTAGATACGCTAGTCCAGCATAGACTTGTGCCAGTCTAGTAATGTAGACGACCGGTATGTGAAGTAGTGGATGATGGAGTGGATCCAGAGAGGTGCGATTTAAGATAAGCACTCTGTTCACAACATATGGCGCACCACCCTGGTCGGTCACCATTGCTAGTCGTCTTCGACTGTACTTCAAGTGAAGTTTCATCCGTACTGGACTCAGCATACTGTTAACTATCGCCCTACGGGCCATTGGAAGTGCACGGTGTTTACAAATGCTCTTGATACGACCAAATTGGTGTGCCCTTATTCAGTAGTAGTTTAACCCTCATGTGAATGTCTAGACACCAATCTCAGTGATTAACATACTTGACAAGATAACTTAGTTGATTATGCATTAGGGTTGTGTATGTTCTTCTCATTAGAAGCCACATTCTCCATTCGTTCCTTACTAGTTGGGTTACCGACGCTGCCGCTTCCCTTGGCGATGCATGAGCAGCTAGTCAATGTGAGTGAAAACTATGCCATCCCAGCAAGTCAGCAACAGTATCTCATTTCAGTGCTGTGTATGCCGAAGATCGCTCCTTGCGTTAATGATTGCTTTTGCAAGAAGACCAGGTTTCTGACTGATTTCGTTGTCTACCACAGCTGAGAGTGGATCCTAGGGATGCAAAGCGATGACCAACGGTGCGAAAATTCCACCGGAAATGTTCAGACAATGTAAACTGTCCCTCCGGTTTTCAATAAAATCACTACTTTAGCCCGAGACAAACGGTTTGGAGCTGTTGCTGATGGGTGGGCCTTGGTGGCCGGAATTCAACTTCTGCACATCAATATTTAAAACAGGAAAATACGCAACCATTATTTACGCACATCACCCACCCCATCCGATCATAGTCGGTTCGCACGCGGGTATCTGGTGGGGTATCTACTGTTTTCATTGGTACAATGTCCGTTAGTAGCTAAGAAGCAGTGTTTTAGACTCTTTTTCGACTCCTGCTTCCAACTTTTGAAGAGATGACCCAGCAATAGCGCCTCACAAGCAGAGTTGTTGCTGCAATAATACTTCTAAGTGCAATGGCTTCTGTGTTATCAAGGTTTTAAGCAATGTCGCACTTTTCAGTCTTTGAGATACTCAGGCGACTTCTTCATGTGGAAGCGCAAACTCTCAGTCAATTTTTCCAGGTCAGGGAATAAAACGGACAACTGAAATCCACACAAAAAAGCAACCCTACTATGTACTTTACTTGTCACTCATGTATTGCCCAACGATGTAGTTAGTTGCATCGAAGCCATTGGCCGCAGCGTGATCAACTGGCTGGTCATAACGTTCATTTTAATAGTGACAGCTTAGATCCTTTAGTGGGCTGCTTTTCCTGTCTTATCAGAGTCAAGGGATGACTACTCTTTGACCGATACGATGCTACAGACCAAACAAGGTGCAGAACCCACTGGTCTCAATGTCTACCTCAGCGAGCGCACTGAGCAGAGTTGAGAACGAAGTGACGAGCGAGCTCACAGTTCAATCATGTCACGATATTCGTGGAATATCCACAATGAGTGGTATAACCTCCAATTCTAAAACGCCAATTCCCTGGTTCTCAGATGTGTGCTAAAACAATAAATAAATGATAAAAAGCTGTCACAGAATCCTTTTCAGAGCTCCCCAGTAATAATGTCGATGAATTGTTTTGTTTGGATAAACACTACCAAAATACAGGAATTAAAGCTCTCGTGTTAGAACAGTGGGGTTGTACCGTGAGCTTGTGCCCCAATATCATATCTGTGTTTCGTGGTTGGCACATTACGTTGTAACTGGCAAAGGTTGGCAGTGCTCCTGATGGCCAGCTCCACATACCCTATATATGCGCCTATGTAAGAATAGACATGGCAGAAAGCTGACCGATACACAAAAGAATAAGGTACCAGCCTTGCAATCCATGGGCCGTCCGTTCGAATCTGGGTCGGTGCGGGTGGCTTGGTAGTATTCTTGGCCAGCGCGCAACTGGTGGCGGTCAAGCTGTAGCGAAGAGTTGGTGTGGCATAACTTTCTTGTTCTTTGCTTTTTAACCGGTACATAAAATGTGCTTCAATTAGATAACTTAACACGACTACCTTGGGGTTGAACATTGACCGTTTTCTTCTTCCTGTAGGAGCCCACATGCCTACATGATTGCGGCCGAACCACAGCGCAAGCGAGAAATTACATCCATTCAGCATTACAAGTAACCTAGAGCAAGATTGCCGTGTAAAGTCGATACCGCAGTCCGCCACGCTCCGCAGTTGACCGAAAGGGTTGCATGCGGGTTGCATAAATCTGCCTCCAATTCGCCTAGATTAAATACATCAATATTTTTACGAAATATAGCAGAAAGCTTCTTCCATTCCCATACCCCATAAGTTGCTTCGTATGTCACAAAGGACTGCGTTGCTGCTGCTCTTCATCAGATGTAATCGCGTGCAGCTCTGGAAGCTGTCAGATGATTAATACCCTTCGTCAATTCCAAGTGGAAACAGCTTCGGTGATGTGTATGCTATCCATAAAATAATCTGATTAGCAATCGTTGCTTCGAAGCCCCACTGGGCACAGTAGCATATATTATGAAATTCGAAAATGCCAGGCGGTTCTTTGCGGTCTACAGCTATGATGAAGACAAGTCGATAAAGCAGGAGGAAGACCAGTCCTAATTTCTGTTATTTCTGTTCCCAAATTGTCTGAATCAAAAAACCAATCGATGATTTGGCACAAAAGTGGCATCAAGCATGATGTAATCACGTTGGGTGCATTTGTACCTGATTCCACTCTCTTCACCTGCCGGATTTGCTAAATAGTTGCCTTTATTAGCTGCAATAAATCCATTGTTCGCCTCTTTCAACTGGTTCGCTTTCTGGAGCCAAACAACAAACGTGAGGTTTGTAAACTGATTAAATGTTCGATTTCGCCGTATTTGCTTTCATGCGTTGACTTTCGTATGAACTGGTGGGAAGTGGGCATTGCTCTGACGACTTCTAGACTGTTGTGTAGATGGTTAAGGATGCCGTCAGCTGCAGATAAAAGCCGCAGTCCATGAACGGCAATTGCTCGTTTCTCCTGGTGCCCATCAAGCAGTCAGTATAGATGATGGGAATCTGGTATGGCAGGGAACAAATTAATTGAACACTGAGGTGCGAGCCGCGTTTTCCGTTCTGTGTGCTAAATCCTTCGATTCTAACGAGACAACACTACTGACCACTCCAGATATTGATTTCTGTGGAATCTACGTCTTGCGAAGCAGGTCATCCAGTTTAAGTCATTTCGAAAGATGACGAAAGTGCAGAACATCCGTATATTGGCCAGTAAACTGTCTTGTGGCAACACATCGGTTGTAGAAGGCTCCAAATTGTGCGAATTGGGTTTCCAGTGTGCAGCTGTGGTTTAACATGGTGAACCGAGACCTCAGCGAGACCAGTGCAAATATTTCTGGGGATTAAAAGAAAGTTTGTTTTAAATTGTACAAAGTCTACGACCTTTATGGCCAAACTTAAGAGCGCTACCTTACCAATAGTTACAGAATGGGGGTAGATGAACATATCCTTCCAAGATGCAGTTTGCATATCCTGTATTAAGCAATGAACAACAACCAAGTAGAGTACTTAGCCGCAGTACTGTTTTCCAGTAACCAGCTAAGAAGCAAATGGAGCGATAGAATTACTGAATAATTAAACACATGGCAGGTCACAGTGAACTACG